GAACGACTCTTCGTCGTCGGAAATATGATTCAAATTGTCCGCCACTTTTTTTCTCTGTTTCGTAACTACAATCCAATTCTTCGCTTGCGCGATGCGAGAAAACCTGTTTAACCGGTACGACAATAGACGAGTACAAATACCGCGTGATATTTGTACTCGTCTATGGCGTTATTTGTACTCGTCTAGGTGTAGTTGGATAATAAAGAGAGTTTATTCGCTTGTGTGTATGTAGTGATAACAGGAGCGATGCCATGCTATTGAGAGGCTCCGTGTTCTTCATTGGAATGTGTCTGTGGGGGTCACAGAGAGTGCCAAACCTCAAGTACTCCAGTTCTACTGTTTTACCTTCCATGCTGCAGGTAGGAATTCCCTGTTATTACACTGCTGCCTTTAAGAACACTGTGGGTCCGCTAGTGGAGTGATTAATGAAATTAGAGCAGTCCTCAATTCAGTTCCAAGAATTTGTTGGTTTTTCTTGAAAAATTTGCGCCATTCTGTCTACCAATCAGTCATTTGATATGGGGATTGATAATCGATGGTTTTGGGAAGGTGTAAAATCGCTGAGACATTACTGTCATAAATCTGACACTAGTGTCTGCAGTCGGGCACAAGTGTTATGAATTGGACACTAGTCTACAAAATACGACACTTGTGTCTAAAAATCGGACACTAGTCTCCAAATGGGACATAAGTCTCCTAAATCAGACGCTACTTAAAATCGGACTTTAGTTTCTAAAATCGGGCACTGGTGTCCTGAATTGGACACTGGTGTTTAAAACTGGTCAGTGGTGAGTAAAATCGGGTTGGTGTCTAAAATGGGATACTAGTGTCTGAAATCGGTCACAATTGATTAAAATCGGACACAAGTCTCCAAAGTGGGACACTGTTATTAATTTAGTATATGCATTGTTCTAACTTTTGGTTTTGTGTCAGGGTACAGTTTCAACAACGGTAAATTTCTGCGATGCTTCCGAGGTTATAGTCAGCTGCATTTCCCTCTCTAACCCCTTGAGATCTGGGTACGACTTCTCCCTTCTGACTTTCTCTAGATTTCCTTTTAAATCGGACAAAGGAATCTGGGGTTATATCAAGATAACACCCCTTAAGCCAATAAACTTGTGTGTTCTCATCACTTTATTGCAAGATAAAGTAGTGAAATCGCCAGGAGAAGTTGCGCCCATTTTTTCTGAGAACTTAAGGGTTATCGCCATCTGAATCTCCCGCGTTTTTTTTCTCTGCAGGCTTTGTCCTGCCATCTCAGCTTGGTGGCCTTGGAAGTGACCCTCTCTCTACAAAGACTTGTTAAGAAGTATGGTCAAGAACTTCATGTCGTGGCCTGGGATGCGGTGTTAGATATCATTGAAGCTGTGCAACAAGAGATCAAGGTATGGGAGGACCTTTATAAGGATGTCTGTACGAATCCTCTCCATCACCAGCCATACTTGTTCCCACATGGTTCATTAGTGCCTTTTTTGTGTTTTTTTTTTTTTGTCTTGCAAAAAAAATATTTTGTTGTCTCCTTCAAGATGAAAGTTGTTGAAAATGTAAGAGAGGGGTTTGTTAGATAATTACAGTGTAAGCTACGAAGCTACATGGAATTCAATGGTCTACTGGACAATCTGTTAATGTATGAAGGCTGATAGTTTCTAAAGAAACTGTTTGGGGCTGCGTCGGTGGGGGTAACGAAATAATTTGAATATATCAACAAAGTTGAAATGGTAAATTGGCCACCGCTACGATTATAAAAGCTGACGTTTCGATCTGTTAATGTATATGCGTTCCCCTTCCTCTTTGAAAGAGTTAACGTACCTTTGGAAGAAAAATCCTCAGAGTTTTCAAAGCTTAGTCGGCTTTCTGCTCCGAAAGAGTTGAACCAGTTTTCTGTTTTTATTGTCGTTTTAGGAAATTAGCCCGAGCGAAAATACCTTGATTGAGAACCTTCATATCCTGTTGTTCAGTATAGAGGATCTGTACGAGAGTGGAAAGTTTAATGGACCAGAAGAAAGGTTCTTTGGTTTGGTAGAGAAGAGTCCTGGCTCGTTACCTGTAAGTAACAGACCACGAATGATCCCTTGGTATTATACTGCACATCCTAACTGCGCATTAGCTCACGCGTAATCAGCGGGCGCTCGTTGAATTGATAAACGTCTTGTTCTCCTAGACAGTGAACTATCCCGCTGTTCTCTTTTTCCTCAATTGAGCGACAACTTCATTTCTCTCTATCTAATTTAAATTGAATAGCGACCGATTTCCTTGAGAAGAGCACTTCCTAAAGAAAGCTAGAATGAAAGAATGAATGCAATTCCAGTTCCAAATCTCATTTAACTCGGAAAAGTACAGTGAACAGCGAAACAAAACCATTAGAATTTGTTACGCATTCGGTGCTAAATTTCATTTTTCTACAAATTCGTGGATAAATTCTATACAATTATGCATTTTATCGTTTGTTTTTGAAGTTGTTGTTATTGTTTTTATTTGTGGTCGTGACATGCGATTCATGTTGATCGTGCTTCTCTTGCAGGATCGATCTCTTCAAATCTTGATTTCATACAAAGCTCAGTCAGTGCATCCCGCTCATGTAGGGTGGCTCGTGAATCTTCACAATCTTATGGAAAAGTACTTCAGGTATCCTGATTACTGCTTGCAGTTTCTCTCCTTGATGCAAATGAGGCAGTTGTACTGACGCTTTCTTCCTGAGTCTCTTTCGAGCTAATCTCGAAAGAGGCTCAGGAAGCCAACAGCTACCTCTTCCTGGGAACGAGGTAGCTGTTGGCCTTGGTTTGCATCTTTGTAGAGCACTTTCCAAGTTAGTCTCATAACACTAAAACCAAGGTTTCCCCAACTGACAATCAGAACAAAACTTTAGTTTAAAAGTAGTCAATACAAAATTTATCACTCGCAATTTGCCTCAACGACAAGAAACATGCGAGAGACTTCAATTTGCGATTGGGCTAATTTTTTTATTTTTGCATTTGAGAGGTTCAGAATTGGTACGAGCTCTCTTTTCAGTATCACGATAAAACTCAATCATTATTATCCATTCACTAAAATTCTATTCTTACAATATAGTATAAGCTCAATTAAAAGAAAATCTGTCGCAGGTCTCATTTCACATACTAATTATTTCATTCTAATGATTACATTCTAATTGATTACATTCTGTTACTTCCTAATCCTTTCCTTAACTATTTCCGAGTTTAACCTAACTCAAGAGAAATATCATGGAAAATCTAATATAGTTTAATATAGCTAAGCTAGCGCACAAGTCATTATACAATGAGGACTTTCCACTAAAACTCAAGCAACACGTCGTAAATAGATATAGTCTTAGGTCATTAGCTGCACCAAAATTAGAACTTGCCAACAAAATTGAGAAGAACACTCTACAAGATCAAGCTGCAGAAGCTTTTAATAAGCTTCCTGCGGAGCTAAGGAATTGCAGTGACCATGCACTTTTTTGTATAAATCTTAAGAGACACATACTGACATGCAATGGATAATCTAGTATAGTTTTTATTATTCACTATTTTATCAATTTTGATTTATTGTAAGTATTATGTATATAGTTAGTTTTTATATTAGTAGCGAAGAGCCACTATGTGGAAGTATACTAATAAAGGTCATTATTATT